GCCGGCCTGTCGCCCCCTTTATCCAAAAATTGTTCCGTTGTTGCAGTTATTTGGCTGTGAGGAAACGCCGCAGAAACGATCATTCAACGGGGGAGTGTTGGTCCTTTATCGGCCTCTTGCCGCTTTCGCGTTATGTTCAGACGCACCTGGTTGCGAGTGGGAGGATCCCCGAGGAACCCTCTTTTACGGTTAAGTGGGGCTAGTGTGCAGACCGGGTAGGGTTTAGTCTGCTTTTTGATTTTCGGCTTCGTTTGTCTCCTATTCCCAGATGCCTCGATTGGAGTCTGGTTCTGTTCTAAAGGACTGGTGTTTGCAGAGCTGGCGGCCATTGGTTTAAGGCAAACTACAGTCTCGTCTAACGGTATGGGGTCTGGGAAAGAGGGTTGGGACTTAAGAACCTTTGAGTCCAACCGAACTGCTGAGATGAAGGCGTTTCTCAATAGTTCAGTGTCTCTAGGGTCAACTTTGAGAATCGAAAAGTGAGGGCTATTGATTAGCAAAAAACTGGACAGCAAGGTAGGATCAACTTTCGAACGTACCGCAAGAAATGTGTTCATCTTAGAGGACATCCAGTGAAGTTTTCGAGATGGATGATGCAATATCACGACCTGCGATAGCAACTTCATCTCTAATTTTCCTGTATGAATCAGGAAGNGGAAAGTATATTGCTCCCTGAAAGTACCGGAGTTTAGCCTGAATACGCTCGAGAGTATCTAAAAGCGAAGGTGTCTCAATGAACTCAATCACCGCTTAATGTGAAGTTACTTCACCGGAGGTGGCAGTGACTTAAACAAAGATAAAAGACCTAGATGACAAGGCGGTCCCGGCGGGATCTATTCTATAAAGGAGAAGGAGACAAGAGCGAATGCTCCAAGCAACCAATGCTTGCAACCGTGCGAAAGCATACATGCGGAACAGGCAGACCAAAGGTGGTGACAACTATCGAGCATGTTACACTGTCGGTCCCAAGCCACTACAAAGTTTGCACTCCAAAAGAGGCGTCTCGACTGCAGATATTCGTTTGCCGTCAGTGTGCAACACATGAAACTCTCCACCAACTCACGTGGTCTGTGAGCCAACATTAGTATCTTTCAAGTGTTAGCTTGACGGTGCTCTGGCAAACAACGTTTCCAAGCTCAACTACACAATATATTCTTCTCACAAACATTACAATACTATTTTACGTATATGGATCAACTGTAGCTTTCTGAATCGTGTTCCGAACCCTAGGTGTAAACACCCTATGGGTTTTGATAAGTGAAGTCTTTGTAAGTTTTCCCCGTAATAAAAAAATTCAATTTGACATATAGACTTTTACTTTGATATAACTTATGCAGAGCCTAACCACGACGCGAATCGAGCTGTCGACTGCCACAGAACACAGGCAGAGTTACAAACTGCCTTGATCGGATCCTGTTTCCCCCTTCGGTGTTATTTTATAGACAGTTTACCTCGCTCGTGCATTTGGAAAGTGAACGCGTGGCTTACCGTTTACGCGACTGCAAACGGAGCGACCAAAACGACACCCTGAGACAGTATTTTGTCACAGAAAATGCGCACGGTTTGTAATCTATGCCGAATAACTCAATCCAGAGCTGGAGATCAGTGCATAATGAGAATAAAATTTAGAGATTATAGGGAAAATGTGAACGGCGCGAGACGTCATGCACACAATCAAAACGTTAAAAAACGGAGTTCCCTATCAAGTTGCAGACTGATGAGGAAAAACACCCGCAATAGCTTTGTTGCACTAATCCAGAAGCCAATTGATGATCATAAACAAAATTACAACCGGAGATATTTTAAACCACAACGACGTGAAATTTGGCTACAGATCCTGGTCACTTATGCCCCATGATGTTGAGCTGAACAAGACGAGGACTGTTTCTCATCCCTGGTTTTGTTTCGTCACGATTATAATTGCTGTGCACTGAGTTCCGATTCGATTTTCACGACCGAAGTTGTCACGTTCCGCGGTAAGTTGTATCTCTATGTGCAACCACACCCACCAGACAGATATTGAAGGTCATTAGAAACAGTACAGAATATCGATTCAATANGATTCAATACAAGTGTTTTATTTAATTTTCACTCTGTGGCCTTAGTTGAGATTTCTGTGGAAAAAAAACAATCAACCGGTCACGTATATCTGCGGACTGCAAAGAGTGAAAAAGTAGACATAAATACACCGGGGGTTCTCGGTCAGAGTGTGAACAGAAGACACGGCACACATTGTCAAACATTGGTCGGCTGAATGGGTGGTTCGGGATCCGGTAGAATCGGTGGCCAGTCGAAATCGATCCCACACACATCCAATGCGAGCAGATCCAATTGACGCCCGACCAGACTGGATAAACTGGGCGTGCATCGACCGAGGTCACCGTGTACAAATTCTTTCACATAGGAACCCGCATCACAGTGTACATGTAGGATGAATAACTCATTGATCGGGTATAGTTTTTGCCACGGTTCATAGTCCTTGAGCTGATATAAAATGCATGGGAGTGAGTAGGGAGTGTCAGAGTTGAACAATCGGACTCGCATCAGTAAAGATAAGCGCTTTGGAATTTCGTCGTCAGTGAAAGTTTTCCAGTTTCAAATAAAGTGTTTACTCGATATTTCGTCTCTCACTAAAATGAAAATGTGTCAACAAAAAAGTACCCCGTTCCATCAAACAATAGCGAAGCGACAGAACACCCATCTCGGTCTAAATAGGCGTCCAAGCATTGAGTGCGCCAATCATAAGAGTGTAAGTCTGATCCTAATCGCGTCAAAGTTGCTAGCGCTCGTTATTCTCCGCCGCTTGTAACAGACGCGCAAAGGGCAGACATCAGCGACTAGCAATTTGGGTTTTGCGCCGGTCGTGGATGCATCGATTAAATCTCCACCCTCCGATGGCGGTCAGAGCACCGTTGTGCCTACCAAAGACCAACGACTATTGTGCTCTCAGACATCTGCGCTGCTTTCGACTTCGTCGATAGCTTTAGCAGTAGCTTCTATTGCTGGAGGGCTCCATACACAAGGAGATGAGAATCTTCGTGGAATACGGCCCCGGTAAGAGATCAGTGGGGCCAATGTTACAATCCCGTGAACTGTAGAAAGGTAAACCAGTACAAACTATCAGAAATTGTACGGTGAAACAAGTAAAAAATATTGTTATGCTAGTTCGGCTCCAAACCGAGATGTAAGTATAAAAACGCATAGCAATCGACTTGACTGGTCATAGGACAGTGATTGAAAGCGTTCTCGCTAACAATTTCAAGAAGCGGTGGTGGTGGTCAAGCGGTAAAGGTCACCAAATTATCGCTCAGGAAGTACGTGTGTTGGAATCCCACCACAACCGACACCACCATCGTCCGACTTTTCCCATCTTATTTGCATTGTTTGGAAGCCCTCGATTGATCGCTTAATCCTTCCAGAAAATTGTATCGTTTAACATTCTATATAAGAAAGAAGAATGAAGATCATAAGAACAAAAAATATATACACAAAAGTGCTGTCTGAGGATAACACAACTACTAGTCGATAAAGAAACATCTTTGAAACAGGTTTGTGCATTTACGGACGCGATAAAAAGGGTTTTGATAGTAGGTGCATTCAAACGAGGAGGAACATATACTACGAAAGATGGTGATATGAAATTTTGACAATCAATCTAAACCACTACTACTCACATCCATATCCGGATTAGACATGACCTGTTCGAACGAGGCCAACTCGAATGATTTGATCACTCGCGGTCTGTCCAACAGAGCACGGCGATGTAACACTCGGATCGGGGTGAGCTGACACACTTCAAGCGGGCCGAACACAATTCGTGGATATGAAGGTCTGGTTGCGGTGCTGGCTTCGTTCTTGTCCGGGTCTGATTGGACCGATTGAGGGGGCCAGACAAGATCGGATGTATTCCGTGGCTTGCTAGTTGGTGAGAATTGGTTGCACTGTTCAGCCACACGTTGAATTAATTCCGTAGTCAGTCCACCGCCCGGACACCAACAAAGGGCCCGGTAATGTTTACTTTTCTTTAGTTCGCCACATTTGATGGTCTTGGTCGCATCGACGGAGGAGACAATCTGCAGCGGAGAAAACGGAAATGAAGCTGATCAACAGCAGTTTACACGTTGTATTGTGAACTGGTTAGTAGCCGCAAGGTGTTCCCCGGTTGTTCTTTTGTTCTCATATGTTTCATTCATGCACATCATTAACGATTCCGTACTGAACAACTATGCAAACCACGTGACTTCGGTTGCTGAAGACCTCAATAATTAGGGAAATCCAACGGAATGTTTAAGAATAAAAAATCGGTATACTAATCATACTATTCTCATCAGGATGTCTAAAAGTGCATACAATATATATTCCTCCCTGTGAGAAATAATAATAATAAACGGAATTTCGCCCGGACAATCACGTGCCAGTAGGGAATGACACTGATGTACTGTACTGTGCTGTAATGACATGGGCAAGTAACTGTGTCTACATTTCATTCAAAAATAAAATGTGCTCAACGTTACAATGAGATAAAAAGTAATAATAAAATGAAAATTTACAAACAGCAATGATAAAATTTGACCAGTTCATTTTTGTAGGTTTAAAAATATTTCGGTTCAGATCTTCACCTCGTCAGTGAGGATATGAGCCAGATAGGGAACCGTTGAGTTGCGATAAATGTTTATGCGGGAGGCTGGGCAGCAAAAATTGCATTGGATTGTAGCGCGGGAACGGCAAGCAGATATATCGGGATTAATCGGATGACTGGGGTTATTGAGTATCTTACGGGCGAGTAATATGAAAAACACGCAATTTGGCGATCATAGTGTATAAAGGAATAAGAGGAACAGGGCGGATAATTGCCAAACTGTGACGAACAGTAATGAAATCCTTTTTAAGTAGTCCAGGGAAAATAACAAGCGAACAATAAAGTATGACAGTAAAAATGCATTGACAAACAAAAGAACATATAGTGTCATGCTTCATTCTAAATTATCGTAGCTTGCGTGTCTGAAAGGATAAGGAACGCACAATACCAACTCTCAGGCTATCATATGATAAGACCACCGTAGATTGTTCTCCATGGTGGCCCCTAGGTATTTGATGGTGTGTTCTGGTAATCGGTACGGCATTGATAACTGAGGGTTCCAAAGGATATTCGGATCGGCACAGACTAAAAATGAATTCGAAGCTTTCAACTGGAGACCGGATTCCTTTGTAATGAACCGTCGGAAAATGATCCTATATCAGATCGGTTTGAAATGGATTGACATATGACTACATCATCAGCAAATAAAAGCCATGTCTCCAGTCTGTCCACAACTGTTGAAAACATAGAAAATAATAATTATTATTATTATACATTTGCGATTGGGAATCACCAATTATTTCCCTCGACCTCCCGCGGCTGAAAGCGACTGCCTACCATGGGTCGCTGGGGGTGGGTGGAGAGGACGTTCTGCCCAAATAGTAGGACAAAACAGAGTTGGCGTGAACTCGCTTGTGTGTATTTACATTGTAAAACGATGCTTGCAACACTAAAACACCACGATGTTTCCGTGGACGCAGAAACAGGGGATGAGTTTCAGTTTAGTTTGGTGCCTAGGGAGTTGATGGCAGCTTGCCAGGTCGTCCAGTCTATCGCACGGGTGAGCTTCAAAGAATTTCCGGTGCGACGAGAATAAGATGAAATGATTCATGTACGATGGAATTCGTGTTGTTCGACGGCTAGAAGACTGCCGTTTAGTTGCAGCGACCCATTCCGAGTGATTTTATGCTGGGTCAGTGTTGCCCATTAGCCACACTCATGGGAGAGTTATAACAAAACTTTGAGGTGATTAGAAAAAGCAAAGAATGTTTAGAGTAACCGTGTGGGGTTGTGAGTGAGAGCAAAGGGACAGATTGGAAGAGGGAATAAAGTGTGAGGAGGGAGACAGACTTCAGCAGCTCAACACGTTATGCTCCTTTAAAGAACAAACTAACCCATACGTCGTTCAAGTAATGCTTAAAATTAGCGATCGAGTTGGTAATAATGGCTTTCTCGGGTAGTTTGTTCCACTTGTTCGCTACCTTCACTGGGAAGAATGCCACCCATAGTCAACATCTAAATCAGCACTTGAATGACTTTACGACAGTGCCTTCATAAGAAGTGGTCTTGCTCAGCTTCAGCAGCGTCTGACCATCTTGCTGTACACCTATTATGCCTCTGAGGACCCTGAACGTCCCTAGTAGGTCACCGCGCCGCCTCTAAATCTAGTGGGAAGAAGTGCACCACCTTTGTGCAGTGACCATCTGATCCCTCCAAACCACATCATGAAACGCCTTTGGGCCACTTTTAGCGTTTTGGTATCCCCAACTAGGAACAGCCTCCACACTTGAACGCAGTGCTCAAAGTGGGGTCCGACGAAGGTTTCGTGGGATTACCCCCGGTCTTGTTGACCCCAGGGCCCACCAGAGCGAGTATATGTGCTCTGGTAAAAGCCTCTGGATACTGCTAGGTAGGAAATAATTCTGTCTCACGTTGTGAACACCGAGGTCACCAATTGAAAGTACGAATAGAAGAGGACCCAAAACGGATATCTGCAAAAACCTCACTGTCAAATGTTCTCCGTTCTGATCTGTAGTCACTTGTCCTCGATAAAAAACCGGTTCGAACGGCGTTTCAACCAAACAATCACATGAAAACGCTTCGTCATTTTTAAATAATTCCGGAACCATTCGAGAAATCCGATCAGGTTCTAGCAATGTGTTTAATACGTTACGATGTCCGAAAAAAGGACTTACCCCGAGGTTCGCTTCATGGTGCTTGGACTTGAAATTTGTGTGTTCTCGTGCCTCGTGAGAATGCACACGCGTTAATTTTATGCCATATTAGTGTACTGCGGTCATTTCCCTTTCGCCTATCATATCCGATGCTGATTCGTGCGGAACACATTTCGTGTGATCTCGTTCAACGTTTTAGCATGTGATATTCGTTGTCATGTGTTAATACCGTGTGTATATGCGTGAGTGTGCAACTATTTTTTTTTCGAATTCCTTTACCAAACCGATTAATGTCCT